GTACCAGGAGGCCACGAGGGAGCCCTTCAGCTTCTGGTTCATCTTCTGCCTGATGGACAAGGCCAACATGTTCTACAAGCGCTGGGAGGAGCGCTTCGTGGTCGACGGCGCCGCGGAGCCCGCGGAGCCGGTAAAGAATGGGCGGCTTCCTCTCGGCGGCGGGCGCCAAGCTGCTGGGGGGCGGGCCGGTCATCGAGACCGAGTGCAACAACATTAAGTGCTGTTCCAGCAGCCAAGCGCGGAACGTCTACGAGCCGCAGCTGGCATCGCTGCCCGCGGGCTGGGGCCAGCGGGGCATCTCCGACGGGAGCGCCGCCAGTGAGGTTTCCAGAACACCCTTCCGCCTTAGGAGAAAGAAGCCGCACATGGCGACGATCTACGTGGACTCCCGGCGGTTCGCGTTCGAGCTGCCGGAGACGCTGCACATGCAGTCCAGCGCCAAGATGGCGGTCTACAAGGTCCGCATTGCAGACGCCTTCCTGAGGACCGACAGGGGCCGGAACCTCTACTGGCAGGACCAGGCCCTAGGCACCCTGAACACCGCGCAGCTGCCCGTGGGCGCCTGGACGGGCGCCCGGCTGGCGGCCTGGATCTCCTCGAACTACGCCGCGGCCACCTACGTCGAGGCCACCAACGCCATCGAGGTGGCCTTCGACGGCAATCGCAGGATACTGTCCGACGCCGAGCTGCGGGACCTCTTCCCCAACGGCCCCGGCTACCCCCAGGGCGCCGGCCCCACGAACCCCCAGAGCATCAACCACCTGCTCGGGGGCAGCTACGTGGACGGCTCGCTGCAGATCTTCCCCTGGGTCTCCATGTGCCCCTACCAGGAGGTCTTCCTGCGCTGCCGGGAGCTGGGCAACGCGGCGCACATTCTGGGCCCCCTGGGCACCGACATCATCTGCAAGGTGATCATCGACAAAGGCGTGGGCCACGTCATGAAGGACCAGACGGACGAGGGGCATCTCGTGGAGCTGCGCGGGCCCATCACACTGCGGACGCTCCATTTCAGGCTCACCGACGTGGACGGCGCCGAGGTGAACACCCGAGGAACCAGCGTCAGCTTCGCCATCTTCCTCGACCCAGATAAGTGAGGCGCCACTAATATAAAACAGCAATCATGCCGGATGAGCCGGAGCCCCAGCAAGCTTCGGAGGCAGGCGGTCCGGCTGCTGGAGAGCCCGAGCCCGCCACTGCGCCACGCCCGCGCCCGAGCCCGAGCCTGTGGCAGCACCTGCTGGACCTGCTGGGGATCTTCCCGAGCTTCCCCCTGCCAGGGCTCCTGACGCCGTGCCCGCCACCGTGCCCGCTGTCAAGAAGCGCGGGCGACCGCCGGGCTCCAAGAACAAGCCCAAGCGCCGCCGGCGACCGTCCCCGCCGACCCTGGGCCAGGCAGTGAGCCGCTACCAAAGGCGGCAGCACCAGCGCCGGAGCCGGAGCCGAAGCCCGAGCCCCCTCGACAGCCGACAACCTGACGCCCGCCCAGATGCGCCTGGTGCGGCAGATCAGCAGCCAAAACCGCTTCGAGCAGCTGGCCATGGCGAACAGCATGGACGTATAGGTAAAGGCACCATGATGCCCCTGGAGCGGCGCAGCGAGCCCCAGATGCTGCGGAGCTTCTGGAAGCAGTACCCGTCCTATAGGGTGCAGCCGCTGCTGCAGAAGCGCTACCACGAGCTCCTGGAGGCGAGGGCCTTCAACGAGTGGCTGGAGAACCGGCGGCTGCGGAAGGAGGGCGAGGAGTACACCGACACGGCGGGCCGGCTCACGGACGCCGTGAACCGCCGAGTGCCGCAGCTGCGGTACGCCCCCGCGGCCCGGGCCGGCGTGCAGCGGGCCGCCAGAGACATCGCGGCGGGGCGCAACACCCAGGAGTCGGGCGGTGTTGGCGGGGTGTTCTAAGACAAAGATGGAGGAGAGGCGCCGGTACGGCTTCCGGGTCAGGCCCGACTTCGGCCAGGTCCTGGGCTACATAGAGGAGGGCGAGCCCCTGCCGGCGGCGCTGCCCAAGCGCAATGCCTCGATCTACATAGCCTCGCATTTTTACCTGGATGACTTCCCCCAGTCCTCCGAGCCTCTCTCCGACCAGCCACTGCCGCACACCCACGTGAACCCGGCGGAGGCCTTCGAGGAGGACGAGCTACCGCGGACAGCCCTGCAGTGGCCGCGGGAAGCTTCCCGCGGCCACCGCAGGGGATGCTGCGGCAGCGCAGCTTCTTCAGCGATACCAGCAGCGACTTCGGCGGGGCCGACCCCGCGCAGGCGCTGCGCATGGACGGCTTCGACGCGCCCCAGCCGCCCTCCCTGGGCAGCCGGCTGCGAGAGTCGGGAATCCAGGCCTCGCCCGCCTGGGCCTTGGCGCCCGGCAGTACGCCGAGGGCGCCGCCTACAGGGGCCTGGGCAGAGGGGAGCGCTGGCTGGACCGAACGCTGCGGGTGCCCAGAACGCCGGAAGGCCTGGTCCGTTGCGGGACGAGGCCGCCGTGGACCCCCAGATCATCGGCCGGCCCAGCGAGGTCGAGCCGCTGCTGGAGCGGGCGGGGCAGAGGGCGGCGCTGCAGGAGGTCAGGGCCATCCAGGACATCGAAGCCTTCACGCAGGGCCAGGTAGGTGGCGGAGGCGGAGGGCTTTGCCAGCGCCGCGGAGGCGGAGGGCGGGGGCACGCTGGCGTTGCTCGGCGAGGCCGCCTTGGGAACCGCAACCGGCATGGGCGCGGCGGCTGGTGGCCTCGCGGTCGCCGGCGCTGGGGCAGCGCTGGTGGGCACCGCCTGCTATCGAGGGGGGCCTTCGGCCGCCGACTTCTTATGGGCTGTGGGGGAGGGGGCACGGACAGCGATCAGAGCCGGCCCAGCAGCGCCGTGGACATCCAGACCTTGAACGGCATGAGTCCGGAGTGCAGCAACACTTCAGCCTGCACCAGCAGCGGCAGAGGCCCGAGGTGATCAGGATCGACTCGGACAGCGATTCCGCGCCCAGGGCCCAGCCGGCGCCACGGGTCCGCGCCAGGGCGGCGCGGCAGCAGCCCTCCCCCTTCGGAATCAATGCAGTGCCCCTGCCACGGTCGCAGGGCCGGTCCAGTGGCAGCGAGGGTTCCGGCCGGCAGAGCGGGCCCACGCACCCCGAGCCATCGTTCGACCAGCTGCGGAGCGACCTCGAACTTGCCTAGCACTACTAGGGAAACGCACGCCGCGGACGCCATGGAGAACGTGACTCAAGCGGTGCAGGATGAGCTCATGGGGAGCCTGGACTACAAACTGGCCACCTCCAACGTGAATTACGTGCAGTCCAGGCGCGATGTAATGTATTTTCCATCGAGCCTTTCGACCTTCACGCCCACCACCAGCAGGGTGGCGAGGATCCCGCTCACGAGCGGCATGGACTTCGTTGACCCTGAGAGCGTGAAGATCGCCTTCAGGGTGCGCAACACCGACGGGGCCGGCGGGCAGCTCTTCCCGGGCTCCTTCGAGGGCAGCTGCTTCATCAAGCGGGTGCAGCTCTTCAGCAACGGCCAGCGGACGGATGACATCTCTGAGTACGGGCGCTGCTGCTGGCTCTATAGCCTGCTGAAGCCCCAGGAGTGGTACAACGGCAGGGCTTACGAGGGCTTCTACCCGACGAATTTGGGGAACCCGCCAGCGATCCTGGACGGCAACTACAAGGACGTGCTGATCCCGCCTACGTTGATCGGCATGTTCCAAAGTGGCAAAATGCTTCCACCTCAACTCAACTTGGTGCTGGAGATCGAGTTCGCGGACCCTGCGGACGCCCTCTGGCCGGGCGGCGACGGGACCACCAGCTACAGCATCGAGAACGTGCGCGTGCTCGCAAGCCAGGTTACGCTCGATAGCGCTCACGGAGTCCTTCAACAAAGTGCTCCTCAGCGGCCGTAGCCTCGTTTTTAGCTACCCGACCATGGCGTCGCAGGTATCCTCGATCCCCGCAGGCACGACGCAGCACAACGTCACGGTCGCGAGAAGCTTCACGAAGCTGATGGGCGCGTTCGTGACCTTCAAGGACGACAATGATGCGCTAGGCGAGGTCATGAATCTCGAGTACCCAGCCGTCAACGGGCAGTTGGAGTCCCAGATGCAGCTGGGGGCGCTCCAGTATCCCAGGTACCCTATGGCCAGCCTAGCGGAGCATCATCACTTCTTGGAGATCATGGCCGGTACCTATGATTCCAAGATCAAAAGCATGAGGCTGAACCGGCTGGAGTACGAGGACACTCAGTTCATCGCCGCCTTCCCGGTGGAGCGCGTGCCCAAGCACCCGCTGAGCGGCATCTCCACACGATCCGGGGACCTCGCGCGCTTTACTTTCAAGAACTTGCAGCCGGACCGCGCCCAGAAGCTGTACATCCACCTCGTGTCTTTTCAGATTGTCACGCTGTCAAGCGCCGGCGTGAGCGTCCTTGACTAGCCGGGCGCCTAGAAGAAAGGAGCCGATAGCCTTCTCGCCTGTTGGCGGCGCCGGCAGCCATGGCGCGGGCGCGCAAAACCCCAAAGCTGTGCTCGCATGGGCGGGGCGCCAAGGGCTACTACTGCAATCTCTGCCGCGGCAAGGGCAGTTGCGAGCACAAAAACGATCGAAGGTATTGTAAAATTTGCAATCCTGGCGGATTCGCTCGTTTCAAATGTCCTCATGGACGAGTGCCTTATCACTGTCGAGATTGCGGCGGCAAAGGCAGTTGCGAACATACCCACAATCGAGCGCACTGCGTAACATGCAACGGCTCGGGCATCTGCGTCCATCAGCGGGTTCGCCACAATTGTCGAGAGTGCCGTGGGAGCAGCTTCTGCGAACATGGCATTACACGCTACACCTGCTTGAGATGCAACGGAAAGGGAAGGTGCTGTCATGGAAGAATACGCCATCACTGCGGGCGGTGTCAGAATTTCATTTGCGACATCGAAGGTTGTGATCTAGAAGGTCATGGGTTTTCATGCTTGACAAACCTACTGTCTCATATGCGCAGATTCCACGGCGACGAGCCCAAGGCGCTCACGAAGCGGAAGGAGCTGGAGGTGCACCAGCTGCTGAGCGGCGCCGGCCTGCAGTTCGAGTCTCAGCACTACCTGCCCTTCCGCAGCTGCGGGCTCGAGTCGGAGACGTCCCGCGCCCTTGCGGACTTCGTGCTGTACGGCCCGCGCTGCGCCATCATCCTTGAAGTGGATGAGGGCCAGCACAGCAATCGGGACCACAGCTGCGACGTGCGCCGCGACTTCGACATCGCAGCCAGCGTGGCCCTGGGCAGTGACCACAAGCTGGTGATCGTCAGGTACAACCCCGACGCCTTCAAGGTGGCCGGCCAGACGGTGCGCACGACCAAGAAGGAGCGCCACGCCCGCCTGCTGCAGCTTCTGCACAGCCTGCTGCAGGAGGAGCCGGAGCGGCAGTTCCAGCGCCTTTTCCTTTATTACGACAGGGCGGCCGAGGACAGCGAACTGCCCGCCGTGGCGGAGGACTGGGACGTCGTCGCGCGCACGGTGAGCCGGGCGGTGCTGTAAAAACCATGAGCCTCTTCGAGAGCACCATCACCGGCAACATTTTGAACGATGGCCAGACCACCGAGAGCACCGGCATAACCGCCGGGCAACTGGCCACCGTCCTCACAGCCTACACGCCGCAAACGGAGACGGCTGCCAACTCTGCCAGCATCAGCGCCAACAGCACCGCAGCGGCCAACAACGCGGCCGCCGTGGCCAGCGTGCAGGCCCAGGTCAACGCCCTGCCCCCGCCACCAGATTTGACGCCCTACGCTCTCGCCTCAGACCTCGCAGCAGCCGAAGGGCAGCTGGCCGCGAACCAGTCCAGCATCACCGCCCTCAACACCAGCCTGACCACAGGCCTGGCTTCGAAGGCCAACCAGAGCGCGCTGGACGCCCTGCAGCTGGAGGTCGACAGCAAGAGCACGCCGGCTTCCGTCGACGCCAAGCTGGCGAGCTACTCGACCACGGCAGCAATGAACTCCGCGATCACGAGCGCTAACAACGCCACGCTGGCCAGCGTGGCCTCGAAAAACGCCCTGCGCTCTGTCACGGATCAGTTGGCTTTGGACCTTGCCGCCAAGCAGTCGGGGCCCGACGTGGATCAGAAGATTGCCACGGCGCTTTTGGACCGGCCGAGCTCGACTGACTTGAATGCGGCCGTGGGCCTGCGCACCTCGCCCGCGGACGTCGACCAGAAGCTCGCGACTGCCCTCGTGACCTATGTGACGCAAGTGGCCCTGGACGCCGCCCTGGCCCTGCGAGACGGCAGGCTGGACGCTGCCGAGGCTTCTATTACAGCTCTGCAAGCGGCTGGCTTTCAGACGGCTGCTCAGGTAGCTTCGGCCATTGCCACGGCGTTGCTGAGCTACACAGACTCCGTGGGTGTGAACGCCCTGCTGGCGGTGCGGGACGGCCGCTTGGACGCTGCAGAAGCCTCCATCACGGGCCTGCAGAGCGCGGGCTACCAAACCTCGACGCAGGTCAGCGCCGTCGCCACGGCCCTGCTGCCTTACGTCCAGCAGACCGCCCTCGACGCTGCTCTGGGCCTGCGCGACCTGCGGCTGGACAGCGCAGAGGCCAACATCCTGGCCCTGCAGGGCGCGGGGCCCTTCGCCAGCGCTGCAGATCTGGATTCCTTGGAGACCAGCCTGCAGAGCGCGATCGACGCCGTGCTGGCGCAGCTGGCGGTGCTGGCCGCGGGAGCCGTGCAGAATGCGCCGGAGTGGGCGGGGCAGACCACCTTCGAGCTGCTGGTGGGCGCCAGCACTCTGCGGCGGCTGCACGTCACGGCGCCGCTGAGCATCAGCCTGCAGAACGAGGACCAGGCCCTGAGCATCGCCTGCGATTCCTACGCTGCGATTGCAGCGGCCATTGCCGCGGCGCTGGCCCCTTACGAGACGGCAGCGCAGCGAGACGCAGCAATTACAGCCGCTCTAGCAGCCTTCAGCAACACTTCCGAGGTCAACGGGTTGATCGCTGCGGCCTTGACCGCCTATAGCTACTATAGCATCACCGCTGAAATGAACTCAGCCATCTCCGCCGCGGTGGCAGGAATCGATCTGAGTCCGTACTACAGCAGCGCCCAAACGGACGCAGCCATCACGGCTGCTTTGGTGCCCGTGACCTTGTCGAATGCGCCGGCCTGGGGGGCGAATCCGCCCACCTGGGAGTTGCTGAAGGGCACCAACGTGCTGCGCAACCTGCACTTTGCTGGCCCGCTGAGCGCGAGCCTGCAGAACAACACGGACACGCTGGAAATCGACTGCGACAGCTACGAGAAGGCTGAAACATACACCCAGGCCGAGGTGAACTCTGTGGTGGCGGGGGCGATCGATGTCTTGAATGTGACCCAGTACAGGACCGAGGCCCAGGTCTCCACGGCCATCTCGGACGCCCTGGTGCCCTACTACGACGCGTCGCAGGTGGACGCGCAGATTGCCGCCAACAGCTTCGACAGCAGTCAGTATTATACTCGAACGCAGAGCGACTCGAGGTATTTCCTGACCACCGCCAACTTTGTGGGCACCACGCTGGTGCGGACCGACGTGACGCCGCCCACCCTGCGCACGCTGCAGCCGCGGGCGCCGATCAGCACGAACTTGATCAGCAGCAACGGCACCGTGGAGCTGCTCTGCGACGCCTGGAGCAAGTCCGAGGCCGACAGTCGCTACGTTCAATCCAGCAACCTGACCAGCCTGGATTCGAGGTACTTCCCAGTGAACGGGAATGCTGGCGGAGGCGGGATTTTCCCCATGGTCATCACCACCTTGACGCCACGCATGATTCGCGCCATACTGCCAAGGGCGCCCCTGAGCGGCGCCTTCATCCTGGGCAACGGCGCCACGCTGGAGCTCAACTGCGACTGCTACAGCAAGGCGGAGTCAGATGGGAGGTATTATACCATGGGGCGGTCCAACGCCAACTTCGCAGACATTGCCATCGAGGCGGACGTGGCCGCTCTGGACACTCGCGTCGCAGCCCTGGAAGCCAGCCCCTTGCCCGCGGACATCTCCGCCAACAGCGTCTCCGCCACTGGGGACTGGCTGTCCTTGGTGGGCGGCACTGCCGGCACCAGGATCCAAGACAACGCCAACAACGACCTCATCACCGTGACCACCACGGAGGCCTTCTTCGGCATCAGATCCAGAGTGGACCACAGGCTCACCATCGACACCCCCAGCGGACCGGACGAGGGGCTCTACACGGCAGCCGTAAGAGCCCGGACCGGCGATGCGCTGCTGACCCTGACCGGTGGCACGGCGGGCTGCGCGCTGAAGGAGCTCTGGAGCTCACAGGCCTTCTGACGGGCACCGAGGCAGTGTTCCCCACGAGAGTGTCCACGCCGGAGCTGGCGCCTTCGCCCAGCACCAACGCCTACATGAGGCTCTTCACGGGCACCACCGGTCTGGAAGTGACGGACCAGTCGCTGAACCCGCCGCAGGTGGAAGACGACGAAACCAAGAGCCTGAGCAGGCTCATCTCGGTGACGCACCGTGGGCGCGGTCCTTAAGAACACCGCGGGCACCGGCTTTGCTCGGCTGCAGCTGGACGCCAACACTGCCACGGGCTTCGAGCAGCTCGAGGTGGCCTCCGCCGGCGGCTGCACCCTGAACGCCCCCGGCCAGGAGATCTAGCTGCGACCTGGGAAGCTGCAAGCCATCTTCGACGGTGCGGAGCCGAAGCTCTACGATCGAAGCCACGCCGAGATTAGAGACCGCCTGGACTTCCTGGCGCAGGACTTTGGGCGCAGGGGTCACAGGTAAGACCAAAAAGGCCGATCAGAAGCTGCTGACGCTGGACTACTGCCGGCTCACTGCAGTGCTGTGGGGCGTCTGCGCTGGAAGCGAAGCCTAAAGCAAAGAGCCGAGCCAGAGGCTGATGGCCGAAGAGGCGGCCATGGAGCTCTTCCAGCAGCTGGCCAACGACTTCAACCTGCTCGCCCGCCGGGAGTTCCCCGGACGGTCGGCCATGACGCAAGCCAGAGCCAGGGCGGCGCTGCAAGGTGACGTAGCCAGGCAGGTGCTGGCTCCGAAGCCCAGAAGCCTTGGCAAGAGCTCAGCGGAGGGCTCCAACGACAGGCTGCAGGCGCACCTGATCGGCCGCAACAAGTACGCCTGGTGGTCACCGACGTGTTTACCAGGGAGGCGGTGACCAAGGGTCTGCCGAACAAGAGCGCGGAAGCGGTGGCCAGGGCTGCTGCAGAGGCCATCCCGGAGCTGGTGCAAGAGGAAGGCAACTACGTGGTGACGACCGACGAAGGGCGCGAGTTCAACCAGCTGGAGCAGGCCCTGCTGCAGGCCGCGGTGCACCGCACCAAGCGGCCCGAGGACAGGAACGCCACCACTTCGCTTCCTTTACCCTTCCCTTGCCACCTAGGATTGCTCAGGAGTGGGAATCTGGTTGCGAGCACCCAAAACTGGCCTGAAATGCATTTTTGGTCGTTGCAGATCTGCGTCCCTGGGGCTTCAGGGCTGCGTTCCTGCAGCTCCGGGCGTTGGCCCGAGGAAGATGTGATGCTGCGCACTTTCATTCAGACTGGCTGTACACAGCTTTCAGAGGGGTCTGGGGAGTGCTATAGAAGAGAGAG